ACAGCCTTTCCTAATGTGTTCTCCTCAGTGCTACAGCTAATAATGGCACATTCACATCCATAATGTATCACTTCTAGTGATCATATTTGCAATTATGCACCGGCGGCCTGCCATTACAGGCGAGGTGAACTATTGTTTTAATGTCTAGTTGTTAAAGAGCCGGTAATAAAAGGAGACACTGGTTTTAACAGCATTCACAAACGATTTTAAAAAGCCAATTACGCCCCGCAGAGAGAATCCCCGATGCCACTCCAGCAGACACATTGTTATACAGACTGGAAGCTTTTGCAGATTTGTTGTCTGTTTCAAATTGAACAGGCTCTCTTCCATGACTCCCCGGTTTGGATAAAGCCACCAGACATGTTCCCTGCTGAATTAAATATCATCCTGCTCCCTGCAGACCTGTCAAAGCGATGCTATCTCACCCACAGCACTAAGACAAGCCCTCACTGTGTACACAGACAGAGGGTTATCCAGAACACACACATGATTATGCACACACTCACACACTCTCTGATAGTGTCACAGCCTCACATTGCTGTATGTGCAGACTCATCCTTCTGCCTGTTACAGAAGTGAGCTTTTGTATCCCCATTCTCCACCCACCACACTACCTCTAATTGACTTTTACAGCGGCCGTTTTCTGCCGTCAGGACAGGAAGTCACTGAAAGTGCTTGGCTGGTGTTTTATGTAGCTGCAGAAAGGTCAGAGTAGGAGCTAAACGCCTCGGTACGCCCTCCTTTTTCCCCCCAATAGTAAATTCTCGTTTATTTAATGGCCTCTGGTGGAAGAAATTGTTGGAGAAAATACTGAGACTGCAGATCTGTGCAAGTAGAATACAGTGTTTATGCTATACATGTCACCATAATATACACTGTCTGCCCTTAGTGTAAAAGAAATCAATGCCGTATACTTTACGGTTTTGCACTAAAAGAAAATGGTGCAGTGGATGTAGCGATGTCAATCCAAGCTCAAATTGGAATTCCTCTGTCGATTAAACTTCACTAAGACGGAGCAAAATGTTTCACTGAAGAATCAATACCGTTTTTTTAATCTTCCCTTTAGCTTTTAGCAGCTACTTCCTTTCCTTTGAGCATTGCATTGTGAGATAGCAGTGTTATAAGGCAGCTTTTGGAGATTTAGAGCACAGATTTGAGACGGATATCTAAATCCAAAGAGGTGTTGTGGTAATAAAGCTGACCAACTGTTAGCATAACTTGAATTTGTTGCTGTCTGTGCTGCCGCTGTTCAAATATCTTACCCCTAAGCATTTGTTTTCATTCCGACCTGCACTGCAATCAATTTCCCAGCGTGTCTTTCCAGCTAATTATTATTTCTGGTTTTAAGAGCTCTGACTGTGCACCGCTCTTATTTCATATTTTCTGCAAACACGGTGAATCCAGCACTAACTGAGGGTCTCTCCGGGGTCGAGAAGCCTCTAAATCTGCGTCCCGGCGCACTTTACCCAGAGCTAATTAGACCTCAAATTTCTCCCACCACTCCCTTTCATACAACCTAATTTATTCCTTCTTTGAAATAAGCACAGCGTAATTGTTCCGCTTAGCTGATTGCCGTAATGGTGTCTGTGTGTGTGTGTGTGTGTGTGTGTGTGTGTGTGTGTGAGCGAGCGTGCGCATGTGTGTGTTGTTAATCAGAAAGCCAATTGAGGATTCTGCAGACATGATGACCGTGTAAACCCGCGCATTCAGAGCCATCACAGACACAATAAAGTCGACCTTGAGCTCAAATGGCATCTCCCTCCGCCCTTTACAACGCACTGTTTGAGTCTGACCTCATTATGATTATTGTTTCATCGTTATCTGAGATGGCATCCGGCGTGGCTGGAATAGTGTCGCTTAATTAAAGTGACACACACAGGAAGGTTAGCTGTGGATGTGTTGTGGAGGGAGGAGGTTTTCTCTCTCCTCCGTCTAGTGTTGGGTGACCGGGTGCCATCAAGCCGCATGTGGGACACAGAGTAGGTTTGTGTGAGAACAAAAGCCACTGTTTCGAAATGAAAGTAAGAATTAAAAGGTAAAAGTGTGAATTGTTAGGTAAAAGTCAGTATTTCCCAAAAAGATTCAGAATGCAGAGAAAGGATGAGAAGAAAAAAGTAATAATTCAGAGAAAAAAATCAATCAATTTCTGAAATCATATTCCCCTCCATGCACGATTGAAAATAAAAACAACTGCCAAATGTCACGAGAAATCTCTGGTGATTGCCCTCCTCCAGCTTCACACATGATTACATACTTTCCCAGAATTCCAGTAGAACATCCCTCGAGCCCTCGAACCCCAGTCATCCTGTGTTGATTGATTGACACCTGACACTCTTTTGCTTTCTACTCTGACATTCAATAAAAGGCACGTTTTAGAATGGAAGCTGTCAATCAAATGCGGGACATCGTCTCAATACGCGGGACACAATTTATAAAAATGCTGAGTAGTCTTGCACACGGAGGACACCTGAGGCCTGTACTACGAAGCTGGATTTTCCTA